AGTAATGGTAACAGTTGTCTTTTGTTTGTTTTTGTATGAGGATGACAGCTACCAGGCTCTGACAATGTGCAGTCTGTGAGTCCTTAGACTCATGGTCATCCTGCTGGTCCCGGGATTGCTATACTGCCCTTGCTGGGGCATAGTGGGGCCATGGGTCTCCCCTGCCAACTGCCTGCAGAGCACTGCCCTGCCTCTGATTGGAGTCACCATTTCCCGGGAGGGCGCCTGCCAGCGTTGCACTCCAGCCTTGGCCTATGTGAGGATCCACATCCCACCCTGCTGTTGCCCTTGCCTCTCACTGGTGGCATCTCTGGCCTGCAGGAGCCCTTGGACTCTGTCTGAAAGTGCCTCTTAAGGGTGTTTCTTGGACCTCAGAAAAGATGTTCTGGGAGGTTCCCCCCAGCTCACAGTCCACTGTGGAGACGCAGGAGGTAGCCACGAACCAATCTTCCCCTTTACCCACTCTGTGTCATGGCATCCGCTCAGCCTGGCCTGTGCTGCCCACACTTTCTCCTCTCCTGCTCCTTTGTTTTCCATATACATTTGGGATCAGCTTGTTGATTGCAATGTGTTTTCTTTAGAGCCTGCTATAATTTTGATTGGGGTTACTTGGTTATATAGATCAATTTAAGAATTGAAATCTTTCCAATATTAAGTTTTCTAACCCATGAACATTGCCAGACTGGTCTTTATTTTGCTTGTCCTTTTCTTTCAGCAGTGCCTTATAGCTATCAGTGAACATGTCTTGTTAAACTTTTAACATTCTGTTAAATTTAACTTAATGGTTTCATGGGTTTTGAACTATTACAAATGATATTGTTTAAATTTCATTTTCCAGCTATTGTTTTCAACGATATAGAAATACAGCTGACTTTTTATTGCTGCCTTATATCCTGTGACTTTCTTAGATTTACTTACTTAATTCTTTAGGATTTTCTTGCAGGTGAACATGTCGTTGTGACTAAATACAGTTTTGCTTCTTTGTTTTCAATCTTTGTGCTTCTTATTCCTTCCCTCTTATTACAAAGTGGTTAGCCTGTAAAATGGGGAGTAAAAGTAGTGAAGATGTAACTTACTTGTTTTGTTCCCAATCTTCGGAGGAAGCAGTCTTTCAGCATAAGTATACTAGATGTTTGTTTCAATTTATTTCATTTTATTTTGTTTTAACAGATTCTCTTTGTCAGGTTAAGGAAGTCTCCTTCTTTTTCTTAGTTTTCTTAGCATTTTTGTCATGAATGGGTATTGAATTTTGTCAGCTGCTCTTACTGCATAATTTATTAAGATGATTTCCTCCTTTTTATACTTGTTCTATTAATATGATAATTACATTAATTGCTTTTTGAATGTTAAACATCCCTGATCCCTAGGATGAGCTCTTTGTGGTCATGTTGTACTCCTTTTATATATTGTTGAATTCAGTTTTCTAATATTAAAGATGTTTGCTGCCATGTTTATGAGTGATATATAGTTTTATTTTCCTTTATGTTCTTAGGTTTTGTTATCAGGGTCATACTGGACTCATAAAATATAAGTGTTCCTGTGAACACTTGTGTGTAACCCCTGCATTAAAAAGTATGTGTGTGTGTGTGTGTGTGTGTGTTTTCTCTTTTTCTTTGTTTTCTAGAGAAGTTTATATAGTATCGATACTGTTTTTTTCTTTAGGTATTTTATAGTGAAGCCATCTGTGTGTTTGTGACAGTGCTTTAAAGCACAAATTGGGGTCCTTTAATATGTATAGGACTATTTAGGTTTTCAGTTTCCTTTGGAGTCAGTTTTGATAATTCATGTCTTTCAGGGAATTTTTCTGTTTCATCTTAGTTGTCAAATTTGTTGATGTAATATGATAGTAATGCTTACTTATCATCCTTTAAATGTTGAATCTGTAGTACAGTCCTGTCTTTCATTCTCCATGTTGGTCATTCCTGTGTGTGGTTTTTCTCCCTCTTGACTTGTGTAGGAGAGTTGTGCATTTTTTAATACTTACAAAGAATGCTTTTTGTTTTGTTTCTATCATTGGTCTGCTTGCTATTTTATTAATTATTGGCTATATCTTTATCTCTATTCAACTTCTTGGGTTTAGTTCGCTGGCTTCTTCAGGTGGACTCTCAAGACTTTGATTTTATTCTTTTTTTCTAATATAAAAATTCAGAGTGGTACTTTTCTTGTAAGCCCTGTGTTAGCTGCATCCCCCAGTTTCGTTTTCTTGTGTGTTTTTTTCATCTAGCATCTACTTGTTTGTGGTAGGAGGGGTGGTCTGTTACCAGCCTTAAGTGGAGGTCTCTGTGATGGGCTTTTGTTAAAATGAATGTCATGGGAGGTGGCTACTCTCCAGCCCTCTTGCATCTGGCTGCCTTTCCTTAACTGGTTGGCTCTCCTTCTCTTAACTCCCTCCATCTCTTCTTCTTGGGTTTGCTGGTTGGCAACCTCCTGTTCCCACAGCAACCTTGGCAGAGTGATCTGAGGCCTGGGGGGCTGCCAGGTTGGGTAAGGCAGCCTCGTTCACTTAGATCCTGCATGATGATCACAGTTCGTGAGGGAGGCACAGTGAGATCCTGCCTGGAAAGAGAAAACCCTGACCCATGCAGCACAGGAAGTAGGCTGCTTTTAGAAAACCCTGACTCGTGCACAGGAAGTAGGCTGCCTTTGTCCTAGCATTAATGGCTCCATGAGGATGTGGACAGGGCATGAATGAGAACACCTGTCACTGCTAGAGAGAGACTTGGGAGGACTGGAGATGTTGGCTCAGAGCAGAGAAAAGTGTGGGGCTGTGGCCTGCCTGACCTGGGGTGCTGCCTGGGCAGGTGCTAGAGGCCTTGCCCCCATAGTCGCAGCGTGTGCACTGGTAGCTGCTTGTTGCTGGCTGTCTGCACCTAGGCTGTCTGGGTTGCTGCAGGGGTAACCATAGAGCAGAACATTAGGCAGGGTGCTCAAGTGCAGGAGAGACCCATGGGCTGGAATGGAGGACACAGAGGGGGCAGGATTAGGAGGTGGAGACAAAGACACAGGAGGAGCCTGAAAGGAAGGCCCCAAACCACTGCTAGGACTTTGGCTTTGGTTGGAGTGAAATGTGGAGTCATTGGTGTGGTCTGAAGCTCGGTGACATGATCTGACATGAGCTGGCCTTTCTTTTCACAGGATTGCGCAAGTCTGCAGTTCACAGAGTGGATGTGATGCAGTGACAAGTGAGAGGCGGGCAGGGAGCTTCTCAGGAGCCTCGGGGACCAGGGGCACGCCGAGATGGGGTGGGAGCGGTACTCTGGATGCTAAAGCACCTGCTGGCTGGTGAGGTGCACTGGCAGACTGGATTGGAGACCAGGAGTACAAATGGGCAGGATGACCTCCGGGCTTTGGCTTAGGGAGGAGCAGGGTGGAGGCTCCTGTGAGTGGCTGGGGGAGGAGTGGGTGCTGAACAGCTGAGGTTAGATGCTGTGGGACGTCCCAGTGGAGCTGCCTGGGGGTCGTGAGATGAACCCGTCTGGAGCCCAGGTCCCTGCTGTGGCAGGACTGTGAGGAAGTGACATGGCTTTCAGGCCACGAGGCTAGATGACATCCCCAAAGAAATTGGTATGGAGAGTGAAGGTGGTGCTGTGGTGTCCTGTGGCCCATGGCAGAGCTCACAGCCCTGACACTTGGAGGCCAGGACAGTGAGCAGGAGCCAGCAGGAATCCCTGGGATGGGGGCTCCCCACACAGGAGGAGGGTCCCAACCGAGTCCCCAGGGAAGAAAGCACCTGTCCTCACTGTTCTCTTAGGGTCTTTCTGGTTGGTAACCCCCCAGCTCCCCACTGCCCTTGGCCTGCACCCTTCCTAGCCATGCTTGGCTCTCCTTCCATACAGGGGCGCCCCAGTCCTCTGGGTACTGCAGGCTCTGCACACCCAAGGGCGGGTGAGGAGGTAGACACCTGGACAGGGAGACTTGTCCCTGCTGGCCTCGCCCATGATGGTGGAGCCCAGCTCCAAGGGTGGTCTTGAGGACTCTACCACGTGTTAACCTCCAGGCCTGCTTGGTACCCCCCACACCAGTGCCTTGGGGCCCGCACAGAGCAGCATGCTGACTTGCTGCTTGCGGGGGACTGTTTGGGCTGGACCTTGAAGGGCTTGAGGGTTCTCTGGTTTCTGCCAGGCCAAGGGCCTTCCCTCACCTGATGTGCGTGCCCGTGGTGGGGCTGGGGTCACTCCAACTAGGGACTGGGTGACTGGTGAACCCCAAACAGAAGGCAGGTTGGTCTTTTCAATTACCTTTGAGGTCACTTTTGGAATCATAACCTGGGCCTGTTCCAGCCTCCTTGTGTCGCTGGGTCCAGACGTGGGAACAGTCTCATGGAGGACCCTTTAGAGGTGTGTTGAGTGGCTGAGGACTCTGGCCTTCTTGGGCATCTCACTGTGGCCACGCTGATCCCATCAACTTCCCGAGGGGTGGTTGACCCCAAAAGGGGCTTTTCTGCAGAGAGGACTCATGGCTGAGCCTCCTCATGGTACAGATCTGTCCCCCGTGGTCAGAGGGCTCCGATCACTTTTGCTGTGGAGTGTTTGGGTGGTTGCATTGGGGGAACAAGGTGGTTGTGGTGATCACTGATTGGTGGGGCCCTGGCTGCTGCCCACTCCATCTGCCATAGGTTGTCTGCTCTGGCTGGAGCTCACCTGTCTTGTCTCTCTCCCCTCACCCCCCCCCTCATTTCTGCCCCCCCATCTCTTTCTGGTCTCTCTGGTTCCCCTTCTCTTCTTTCTCTGTTGATGTCACCACCACTCTCACCTGTCTGTTCCCTCTTTTCGTCTTTCTCTGTCGTTGCCACCTATGACTCTCCTTCCTGATGGTTTTCTTCATTTTCTGGTCTCACTTGTGCTCTCTCTCCATCTGTCTATCTGTCTTTCTCTGTCTCCTTGTCCCCTCGCTGCCCCTCTCTGCCCTTCCATCCCCGCTCTCCTATGCCCTCCCCGGGTCCTCACTGTCCATCTCCTCCTCTTGCTGTCTCTGCTCCCTGTTCCTTCTCTGCCCCCCAGGCACACAGCGCAGCAGGAGACCAATAAAACCATTGCGGCCAGCACCAGCGCCATGAAGCAGATGTCCGAGCTGCTGCGTGGCTCCTGCCCGGTATGTTTCCTTGGGGATCTGGAGTCACAGGAGGAGAGGTGGAGACCGCTGTGTCCAAGTGGGAGTGGGGTCGTGGTAGGGGGCAGGATACCGGGAGGTTGACATGCATGTATGGACACGCAGCCTGGCCTGGGATCTGGCCCCACGTGGCTCCACTGGTCAGAAGGTGATCTGTTCAATTGCTTGGGCAACAGCTGCTTATGGAGCTTGTGCTAGGTACTGGTGCTGTGGCCCTGAGTCTCCTGTTTTCCTGGGGCTTATGTGGTAGTGGAGATGAGAGCACCCTGGGTCTTCCTCTTGGGCTTTTCTGAATGGAGACTAATGGCTCCTCTACATTAATTTTACCGTCTTTACTCCCTCCAGCACCCTTGCCTCACCCCTCTGCCTGCATCTGCCATCCATAACCAACTCTAGTAGCCTTCCTGTCCTATATCCACTGCCTGGGCTCCTCACCAGTTCCACCAGACCACAGACATATTGTTATGGTACATGCCACCACGCCCACTGCCTAGACCACCATCCCATCCCCGCTGTCCCAGGGCCATCTCTCATCCTTATCCCTCCCTCCTCACACCCTCTGCTTACTCATGCCAGATCAGTACCCACTCTCTGAAGATCAGAGGGTCTCATCACCAAAGATTAAATTCTGTGAAACCCTAAGATTTTGTGGGGCAGGAGTCAGCAAACCACAGTGTGCTGGCCTACAGCCTGGTTCATAAATAAAGTTTTATTGAAACATAGTCACACCCATTCGTTTCCATATTGTTTACAGCGACTTTCCTGCTACATGGCAGAGTGGGTAGTCACAACAGACTGTTTGGCCTTCACAGTCCTTTACATAAAAACTCTTACTGACCTCTCGTAGGAAATACACATCATGTGGCATACCCCCAAAATGGGATAGCATTCAGCAGTGAACAAGAATGAAGTAGTAAGACGTGCTGCAGTGTAGAGGATGCTTAGAGCTATGTGCCAAGCAAGGGAAGCAGAATGCAAAAGCACGTGCACTGTGTGGTTCTGTTTGTATGAAATCTCCAGAAAACGCAACTCGTTGGAGACAGAAAGTAGATGAGTGGTGGTTGCCAGGGTTGGGAGTAGAGTGGAATTGGTGCAGCTGGGCTCAGGGCCCTTGCTAGGGTGATGGGGATGCTCAAACTGGGTTGTAGTGTTGGTTGTGCCCCTGAAAGTTATTGAACTGTACACTTAAAGTGGGTGAATTTTATGTTATCTAAATTATACTTTAATGCAATTGTTACTGAGAAAAGTAGAGCCAGTTTCAAAAGTCAGTTACCCTGATAAATGTCACAGAGGCCAGCTGTCCAGGGATGGGGTGGACAGAGTCTTCCAAAAGTCAGACTGCAGAGACTGTGATTGGCCTGGAGCTGTCCACACGTGGTTTACTTGTCACAACTAGGATTGGTTCATGGGGGACATGCTGCTTCTCTGATCTGTGCTCTCTGGTGGAATGCAGCCCTTTGGGCAGTGACATCACCAAAAACATTTATGGGGTCCTTCTTGTGTGAAGTGCTGTGCTAGGCCCCAGACTGTCAACTTGCAACTCTGAGAGGAATTTCTGTGAAGTGAGAGCAGTGAGGTCCACACAGCCTGTTTCTGGTGAAGTTAATTACTTATTCAGTCTGATTCAGCGCACATTTGTTGTGCCTATCACGTCTTCAATTTTGTGAGCTACAGATGCTTTGATAAGTAATCCCTTCAGTCATGTAAAAAGGTCGAGGCTGTTGTAGGCCACTCCCTCACACCCTTGGCCGTTGACCACAGACCAGGCCCCGCCTGAGCCTCTGCTTGCTTTCCTCTAGCCCTCTGACAGCCCATGGGGCAGGTGCTTTCACTCCCTTTTTATAAGGAAGGAAGTTGGGGCTCAGAGAGCATTCTGCTCCAGGCACAACTGAATTTGAACTCTGGTCTTTCTCGGTCTAGAGTCCGTGTTCTCATGAGGATCATGGCATCAGAGCTTGAGCCCTTTGAGCATTCAGGGTGATCACTTTTAACCTCATGCAGTATTCCTTTTTTTCCTCTCACTCAAATATCTATCCACCCATCCACCTACCCACCCACTCACTCACTCACATGTCCAGTGGTCCACCCCCCACACACTGACAGATGTTCATTGAATGCCTGCTCTGTGGAGATGTAGTAAGGATACAAATAAGATGGGATTCTCTCTGTTGAGGCCCTCAAGGTACCACAGGAGGAAACACTGAGAAAAACAGCATTTGTTGTCCCAGGGCCTGTGTAGGATATGATGGGCTCAATGGCAGAAGTCAGACTTGCTGTGTGTCCATGGCTTCTTGGAGGAGGTAACAAGTGAGAGAAGCAGGATGGAGAAGCTCATGTACTGTATGGTTCTGTTTGTATGAAATGTTCAGAAAATGCAATGGGAATCCATCAGTGGGAAGGGGTCTTCAAGACAGGTGGGAACCCAGCCAACATTGAGACAGTGGGGGTATCTACAGGTGTGGAGGCTACAGCTGCGCAGGTAATGTGTTAGGGAGACTGAGAGAGGGGAGAGGTACGGTCGGTGCTCAGCATGGCTGTGTGAAGGGTACGGGTACCATCTTTGGTGGACAGCATCAAGGGAGAGAGCCCACACCCCTTTGTTCAGCAACTATTGGTGATGAAGTCCCACCTTGTGGACTATCAGCTATGGAGGTGAGAAAGAGGAGGAGCAGCTCCCCTTGTCCCACTCCATCTTTGAGAGATGGTAGGAACAAGTGAGGGCTACCAGGAGCCCAATGCAATCCTCTGCAGAGCAGCTTTAGGGCATTGTGCCTAGGTTCCTTCCTGGTTCTGTCCTTCCTGTGTTGGCCTGGAATGCCAGGGCAATGTGGGACCCCTTCCTGTTAGTGCAGCCTGCTGGGAGGAGCACAAATGGACAGCGTGCCCAGCAGGGCAGGTGGCTTACTGCCCTCCCTGGGAGAAAGGGTGTGGTGTCGATTGCATGGAGGTGAGAGGCTGCAGAGCTGGAGATGTTTGGCTCAAAAGGTCTGGAGCTCTGCCTGAGCTCCTGGCTCCATTCTGGGACATACATTTGGTGCCAGTGACAAGAGTCTGACCTAGACACTGACACAGGCTCCACGGAGTTGCTGCCACAGGGGTGACCATTGGGCCCAGACACAGCTCAGCACTACAAATACTGCCCCAGCTCCTCCTCCATGGGCTTGGGTGGCAGGCAGCAGTGGAGGGTGAGTGATGAGGGCCCAGGGCCAGGTTCATGTCAGAAATACACAGGATCTTCCAGGCAGGGTCAGGCATGGTCTGTGGCCTGAGAGACCATGTCTGGGTCCTGGTGACAGGCACAGTTCCTTGGTGCTTCTACTGGTGGGGTGGTACTCATGGCAAGCCAGAGCGGGCAGTGTCAGGTCAAGAGATGTTTGTCCAGTCCCTCCGTGGGTGAGCATTTCTCAAGCACTAGCTCTGGGAGGCATCCTGTAGGCACTGTGGTGCCTTGGTGAACTTTCCAGCAGGAAGGAATGGGGTTAGGGAAGGCTGGAGGCCATGGAGAGCTGTGGGTGCAAGGTGAGATATTGGGGGTAGGGGGTGGTCCTGATAGTCATGCTGAGGCTTGGCCCTGCTACTTGTGTGACCTCAAGTAAGCTACTCAGAACTTGGAGCTACAGTCTCCTGTGCTGTGGAATGGATTGTAATGCTTCTTTTAGAGTCAGGGTGTTATGGAGGCTAAGTGTGTGAGCCTGAAGCAGCTCCTGGCTTCTACAGACTATGTTGATGATACGTATACTGGCTTTTGTGATGGTGTCTGTGGGGACACTGGTTGTTCCTGTGGAGACAGTGGTGATACTGGGGGTGAAGTATATGGTGATAAGCCTAATTCTGGGGACAGGTGGGTGTGACAGTGGTGAAGGAGAAGGTAGGGTGGTGTGGAGGCAGGGCAGGACCTCAGCTGCTGTGTCAACTGCATCCTCTATTTGCAGCAGGAGCGGCTTCAACTGGACCGGCTGAAAACCCAGCTCACGGATGCCATTCAGCGTTATGGAGTGATACAGAAGGTGAGGACGTGTGGGCAGGGACGTCAGGCCAGGTGGGGTGGGCCTCCATCCTTGAGTGCCCACACTGGCTGTCTTGTCCCTGGATCAGCCTGGTACAGTCCCATACCCCATGACAGAGGAAGGAGCTATCCTAGCAAACATTCTACAGGTAGCCAGGGTGTGCATCCTAAAGGATATTGACCTTTGAAGTGTCGCTCCAGAGGTGACCTCACAACAGCCTCCTGAGAAGAGGAAGCACAGGTCCCATCCTGTTTTGACAGGTTCAGAGACTGAGGCCCTGTGAGCTCATGTGTGTGAACAGAGGCCATCTAGAAATCACTGGCAGAACCAGATCCAGGCCCAGGGATAGCTCTGTTCTCTAAGGGAGCAGATGGTGTGTTTTGCTGAGTTATTGTCCAATACCTTGTGTTAATCTGACCCTTTCTTCTCTCCTCCCCACATTGTTTGTTTTTTCTGTCATTCTCCTCTTGTACTTCTTCCAACAGAAAATTGCAGAAAAGTCTAGAGCACTGCTTCCCACGGCACAGAGAAGCAGCAAACAGGTGGGTGCTGACTGTTTCTTACAGTCAGTGGGTATTAGGGGACAACAAGAATCCATTGCCATTTGTGCTCAAGGGAAGGACAGGAAGGGCTACAGGCAGGGGGCCCTTTTCTGAGGGGTCCGCCTTGATGAACAGTCTTTTAAAATACGGGCATTTTGATCTTGGGGCCCTGGCATAGTGCCTGATGTGGGGTAAGCTCCCAAATAATGACCATTGACAGTTCCACATGCTGTACAGGACTTACTGGCCAGACCAGCCCTCTGCTGAGAGCTGCTGTAAAACCTGGATTAAAATACACACACACACACACACACACACACACACTCACACAATCATGTGCATACAGATAAATGTAGACACAGACACATGCATGCAGGTAGAAATAGACACACAGAGACACACAGACACACATACAGATCCGAGAGGGTAGAGGCATCAGAGAGCAACCAGGGAAGCCAGGACTGGACAGGCAGACATTTCAGAATAATCTGTGTTTATCTTCACTTCCTTCCTACTTCCTGGGGCATTTTGGCAATTTATGTCTTAGCTTATTGAGACTGAACAGCAGGTGGTAGCTTGGAGCTTGGTCTTACTGGGCTGGGGAGACAAAACGTTAGAGTTCAGGGATCTTAGGAATCAAAATCCTGGAGCAAGGGGATTACAATCCTCAGTGTAATTTCCCCGGGAAACAGGCATCTGCTGATTAATGAGTGGTGAATATATGTTGTGAGAGTCCAAGACATCAAGCAAAAAGCAGTTTATAAGAAAAGTTAAAACAAATTGTGGCACTATCAGGGTACTAAGAAGACAAAAGTTGGAGTTTAAGGCCCACCCAGGAGAGAGGCGTCTCTTGTAAACACCAAACGTTTCAGTTGAGACCCTAAAAGATTAAGGTAAGCCAGGAATAGACCAGCCCTAACAAAGCTTAAAATACAGCCTTGAATCTTGTCTATTTCTGTCTGCCCAAAGTCAACTGAATTTGTTCCAGAGGATGGATTCATCATCTAGAATCTCTGTAATTTTTCATACACAGTGTCTGGGATTTAAACCAAAATTGCTAGGCATAACAGGTAACAGAATCAAATTACTAAAGCCAAATAAAAATAGCCAAGTAAAACAGGTGATGTTGATATTAAAGTAATTGGACGTGTACCTTAAATAATTGCAGGTTGAATATTCCTAATTCCAAAATTGAAATGCTCCAAAATTTGAAACTTTTTGAGTGCCAACATGATGCTCAAAGGAAATGCTCATTGGAGGAGTTCCATTTTTGGATTTTGGGGTTAGGGATGCTCATCCAGTAAGTAAAATACATGTATTCAAAACCTGAAAAAATAAATGGTCCAAAATCCAAAACACTTCTGGTTCCATGCACTTCAGATAAGGGATACTCAAGTTGTATTATTATTATGTGAAACAAAGTAGCTTAAAGTATCAGAGAATTTAAATTTTTTAAAAATAATAGAAATGAGAGTTATAGTATTGAATAATACCATAATTAAAATTTAGGTTTGCCTAATTTCAAATTAGACAAAATAGAAGAAAGAATTAGTGAACTAGAAAGCAGAGCATAAGAAAATAATTATATTGAAACAGAGGGAAACAAATGATAGAAAACCTACAAAAAGAGTGTAGTGGGAGTCTTATGTGAACAGGAGGGAGAGAAAATGGGCAAAAATAATATTTTAATAGGTAATGGTTGATAATTTTCCAAAACTTCCCAAATGCTTCAAGCCATAGATCTAAAAGACACTATAAGTAGGAGTAATTTATCCTCTTAAAAACGAAAAAAAAAAAAACTTAATTATAGCTTAGTAAAAACATGAAAACCAAAGACAAAAAATAAAATCTTTAAACCAATTTAAAATCATAAAACTATCTTAAAAGCACATTAAAGTTAGGGACAAGAAGACTGACACCTGACTTAATAGAAACAATGGCATCCAGAAGACTGTGGAAACACCTCTTCAGAGTGATAAGACAATTACCAACTTTCAATTCTATATCTGGTAAAAATATTATTTAGAAATAAAGATGAAATGAAAACATTTTTATAAAAACAAAATCTGAAAAAATTCATTATTAACAGAGCCCACTCAAAGGCTTCAGATATGGGTCACATATGCTATTGACAATAGCACAAAAGACAGGGGAGGTAGGTGGTGTTGACCTCATCTCTACAATAAATCAAAAAATCAGCCAGGCGTGGTAGCGCATGCCTGTAATTCCGGCTACATGGAAGGCTGAGGCGGAAGTATCGCCGGAGCCCAGCAGGTCGAGGCCATGGTGGCCGGGAGCAGCCACTGCACTCCAGTCTGGGTGACAGAGTGAGACTCCAACTCAAAAAAAAAAATAAAAAAGTATTGTGATGTTCTTGCATCATCAGAGAAGTGACAAAATTACTAATCTAAGGTAGACTGTAGTAAGCCAACATGCATGCTGCATTATGTAAGTAATTACTAAAGCATAAATTAATGAAATACAAAACATATTGTAGACATGTTAGCAAAGCCAAAATAATTGGTTCTTTGGAAGGAGTAATAAAATTGTTAAATTCCTACAAGACTAATTATAATCAAGATACAGAGGGAAGATGCAAATTGCCAATATCAGGGATGATATATCATTACAGATCCTACAAATTTTCTTTAAAAAATAACATAAAGGTATTATAAACAATTTTATATCAATAAATTTGACAACTTAGATGAAACACAAAATTTTTAGGAAACTGTAACTTACCAAGTTAGGAAACTATAACTTATCAAGATATATAGAGAATCTGGAAAGTTCAATAATTTATTAAAGAAATTAAATCCGTAATTCTACAATACTCCATAAGGAAAAACCCACACCTAGAGAGCTGTGCTGGCGAATTCTTCCAAGTATTTAAGGAGTAAATAACACCAGTTTATACAAATTATTACAGAGAACATAAAAAGGAAACATCTTGCTGTGCTTTATGGCCAGCAATACTTTGATTTCAAATTATTGTAGGGATATCATAGAAAAGAAAAAAAAAGTCAGTGTCTCTCATGAATATAGAAGCAAAAATCTTAACCAAAAATACTAATAAATTAACCAGCAATATTTTAAAAGATGACAATACACCAAAGTGGGTTTTATTCTACAGGTGCAAAGTTTATTTGCATTCAGAAACAACAAGTATAATTCACTACATTAATAGAATAAGGCAAAAATCTATATAGTTATCTCAGTAGATACAGAAAAGCATTTCATAAAATTCAAAACTCTCAGCAAAGTTGGACTAGATAGGAATGCCTTTAATCTGCAAAGGATATCTTTAAAAACCTCAGGTTAACATCATACTTATTGGGGAGATATTAAAATCTTTTCTCCTGAGATTGAGGATAAAATATGCTTGTCTAGTACTATTGCTTTTATTCTCCATTGTACTGGAAGTTTTAGCAATGCAATAGGGCATGAAAAAGAAGTAAAAAGTGTACAGACTGGGAAGAAGAAACAAACTTTCACAACATAATTGTGTACACAAAATCTGGATGATTGCAGTATGCTGTTAGAATTAATAAGTGAATGTGACAAGACTACTGGAACCAGGTCAGTATACAAGAAGACACTGTGTGTTGTGTCAAAAGACATTGTGGAGATGAAATTTAATAAGTGGTGTCATTTATAATAGCATCAAAACTAGGAAGAAATGTATGAAGAGCTGTTTAAGTCCTCTGTATCAAAACTATAAAGCATTACAGAAGATCTAAGTAATGAGAGAAATTAGAGATCTAAATATTGTAAATGCCAGTTCTCACCAAACAGATCTGTCAAGTCAGTACAATCCACATAAAATTCCAGCAGGTTTTGAGCATGAGTGTATGTGTGTGAATCGTCAGGCTGACTCTAAAATGTATACAGAAATATGGAAGACCCAAAATGGTGAAGACAACTTTAAATGTGAGCAGAAGTGGGAGATTTATATGATCAGGTATAGGAACACGTTATGAAGCACAGAAATGAAAACAACATGATCTTTGTATGAAGCTAGACAGACAGCCATGAAACAGAAGAGTCCAGATGCAGACCTACACATATGTGGGTTTATGGTTGAGGTGGACTGCCGTGCCATGGGAAGTGGATGGTTTACTCATGGCTTGATGCTGGATCACTTGGATGATCAAACTGGGAAACAGGTTATTTTATAAACTTTAATTCACCCATGCACACACACAAAAACACATCCAGCTATATCATAGACCCACGTGTGAAAGGCAGTAACATTTTATGAAGATACTATAGGAGGTTACCTTCACATATTTACAGTGGGCAAAGATTTCTTATGCATATGTGAAAGTGCTAACTTGAAAGAAAAAGATTTAGAATTTGACTTTGATAAAATTAATACACCATTAAGGGAGTTAAAAGGCAACCCACAGAATGAGAGAGAGTATTAACACATATCTGAAAAGGACGTACATTCCTAATATATAAAGATCTCTTATAAATCAATAAGAAAAAGGCAGAAAGGCAGACAACTATTTTTTAATCTATTTATTGAGTTGGAGTCTCACTCTGTCGCCCAGGCTGGAGTGCCGTGACATTCTCATAGCCACCCCAGCGTCAACCTGCTGGGCTCCAGCAATCCTTCCACCTCAGCCTTCCAAGTAGCTGGAACTACAGACGCATGCTACCATGCCTGGCGAATTTTTTATTTATTGTTGAGACAAGGTCTTGCCAAGTTGCCCAGGCTGATCTTGAACCTGGAGGCTCAGGCAATTCACTCACCTCGGCTTCCCAAAGTACTGGGATTACAGGCTGAGTCACCAACCCAGCCGACAACTCTATTTAAAAACAAAAAAGGGCAAAAACCTTAGACAGGCACTTAACAAAAGAGGATTTCCAGTTTGCTAGTAAGCATATGAACATGTGCGCACCAACATGCATTATCAGAAAAATGGCAAGTAAACCCATGATGATATATCACTACACACCACCTTGTTCCCACCCAGATAACTAGCAAAAAATTA